CTTGACAGATGTGATACACATCTGTTGAACGTTGCAGGGGCATTACTAAGCCCTTGTGGCATTACTAGCCATTTCCAGAGCATACCGCTAGGCGTGCTAACTGCGGTATAGGGTATATCCCGTTCTCGCACTAGGATTTGATAGAATCCATCCATCAAATCCATGGACGAAAAGATGGTACTCTTTGACATACCATCAATGATGACGTCCTTCCTCGGTATCGGCGTCTGAGCCGGTACCGTTGCAGCATTCAACTTGTTAAACGCGTGCACTATCCGCCACCCTCCTGTTGCTTTTCGCACACAGAAGGTCGGAGAGCTATGTGGGGAAGTTGATTCCCTCACATGGCCCGCTGCTAAACGATCGGCAAAGAACTTGTCGATCGCAAGTACTTGTTCACGAGGCAGTGGCCACTGCTTCATGACACAGTACTTCGAGCCTGGTTTAAGCTCGACTTCGTGTCGAATACCTTTATCCTTCGGTAATTCGCACGGAACAGTTTCAGGGAATACATCCTTGAATTCAACCAAATCTTCATAGAGAGGATTTTCCTTGAGCGATTCCCATGATTGGGACTCATATCGCTCAATTCGTGTCTTTTCATCGAGGACACTCTCGTCCATAGATGAACTACTGAGAACTCCCTCGTTCTCAGTAAACACTGTTGCTGACCTTATGTCGGTTACACACTCGTCGTCAGCGACGAGTAAGCAGATCTGCTTGACTTTGCCACTACGCAGATCACGCAAGAACCTTTTATGTTCGAGCGTTGGCAACTGAGTGATCTCCGAAGTTAACTTCGGAGGCGCAATCAGATCAAGTGTATAAGCGCCTACACTTGATCCGTTATTGACTATGACATTCAATGTCTCTGTCATTTCCTGGGGACTTATTCCCTCAGGCTTCGAAGGACTTATTCCTTCGTCTTCCCGGGGACTTATTCCCGCGGGTTTCGGGGAACTTATTTCCGCCGTATTTGTAATCTTGGGACTTATTCCCTTAACTTCCTCTAGCTGGGGTTGCGCAACCACAGCGAGATCCTCTACGAAAGACTCTCCAGTCGATCTAGGATTATCGTTTCGCTTAACCTGAGCGATCGATTGTTTCTCTTCTAGATGTTCCCCTCTAGGGATACATCTTTGTCCCAGTCCACCCGACTTATTCGAGTGGTGGACCTTCGGCGCAGCCTGTGTTTCCTCACAGCCGCCGGAACTTTGCTCCGAAGTGTAACCGTTTGGTACACTAAGGTTTTGTGCAGTCGTACTAACGACCGTACCACAAGTGAGGCCATCGCACTCACTCGTAGTACATCCACACGCTTGTGGACTCTCCAAAACGTTCATCATATGGTCATCTGATGAACAAGCGGCAGGCATCGTTACTGTTCGATGTTGCCAGTTTACCCGTGGTTCGTATCTTCTGAGCCACGTTATTACAAGGATGACATCAAATTTGTCATCCAAATCCAATACGATGAAGTCATCGTCATATTGGTTATCTGCTAGCGTATAGTGGATCTTCACTATACGCTTCATGACGGTTACGGATGCGCCTGTCGCAAGACGTACCGTCCTCCTCGTAGGAGGTGTGTCACATTCACTGAACTTAAAGTGACCATCTTCTAGCGATTGGCGTCGCACAAAATTGTTGGACGCCCCACAATCGACTAGAGCTCGAAGGGACAACTTATTTGTCACTTCGAGTTTCAAGGTAATGAGTGAGACCTCATTACCTAGAGCAGCAACGCACAATGTTTGTGTGTTGGATGCAACCTTCATCAAGAGGCCTACAAATTCTCTTGACGTTGCTGGACCAGTAGGGTGCTCCGCACCTACTGATCCTGTCCGTTTTTTGACGGGCCATCCCGTTGTTGCGTCTTTGCCCCAACGGCGGACCCTCGTCCCTGCCCCTTTCTCATGGGTGGACGGTCACTACGCCCAGTGTCGCGAGACACTGGACGAGGGGAACTACACTCGTAAGCGTAGTGTCCTGTCTTTTGACATCTGTTGCATCTCTGCAACTTCTTGTAGTCTGTAGATCGAGCCTTCTCGCTCTCTACATAACAGAGTTCCATCGGCTCTGGACCTCCGTTGTCATATCGTCTCGGTTGACGATATGATGTCGAGCTGGCGCGAGCCTGTCTCAGACTGAAGTCTTCCTGTTCCGCAATTGAAATGGCTTGTTCTAGTGAATCTAGTTCAAGCCGGAACAGGTGAGTCTTGACGGGACCATCCGCAAGACCCTGCATGAACACCGAAACCAACGTGTGTTCATCCACCGGATTGGAACTTATACAACTCGTGAGATGTCGTATATGTTGGGCGTAAGCGTGCACATCACGCTTACCCTGCTTGAGCTTCAAGAGTTCGGTTCGAGCCCTGAACTCAGCTCTAGGCGGTTCAAACGTTTGTCTGAGCCGCGGCTTGAAGACTTCCGACGAGCCAAACGCATATGGGTCGTGCAACTTGAGTCCCAGTGCCCAAGGCTTGGCACGTCCTGCCAGATTTGACTGGGCAAATGCAACTTGCACTTCCCCTTCGTCGATGCGACGCGACCTTATGGCGTCGTCCAATTCGACGAACCATCTCAAGAGGGAGTCCTCTTCGACTCCCCTATACTTGGAGATGTCAATCTTCAAGGTTTCGGGTCGACGCGAATGCATCAACCCGACCAGCAGCAGCCTGCTGCTGTCTCAACAGTTCAAACTGTTGAGCACCCTGTTCTCTCAACAACTCTGCTTGTTGAGAACCTTGTTGGTGAAGCAAGGCTACTTTCTCGCGTTCTGCGTCAAGTTCATTTTGAATGAACTTGGCGATAGTAGCATGTTGGGCATCTCTATTGAGAGCCTCTAGCATGACGCTAACAGCATGGATGCCCATGGTTGAACCCATTCGTTCAACCGCATCCCATTCGACATCGCTCAAATGGGAGTAGCCGTCACGCGTAGCGTAAAAGCTTTGGTTATCTTCATCGTCCAACATATTCATGTTAGATGTGAACGTGGTGCTTGGACGGACTACAAAGTGCTACCAGGTGTAACGGGGCACCCTGAAGCTTGTACTGGTAACAGCACAAGCTACTTATTCTGATGACAGAATAAGGCGGTGCCTCCTAACTTCACGTACACTCGTACGTGCAGAGGAAGACGGCAAGAAGAAGCGAGTACTTAGTTTCAGTAAAAAGTAGAACTGTATTTATCATAGTTAGTGTCTGCAATAAATCACTATTTATCCTCATCTAACTATGTCTGAATACAAATGTGCATATCAACTATCTGCTCACCACTCATTGCGTGCGTCTGTCGTGGCGCGTCTTCGTTGGTTGATATAATGGCCTATATCAACCAATTAGGAACTACTCGTAAGTGCTACAGAATATTTGTCCTTATGACAATATTCTATGAATATAACTCTTACAGTTATATTCTATTAACAATTTCTCATAAATTGTTATGTAACGATTCACCCCGTTACAAGTTGAGAAAATCTTGATTACGAAAAGTGAACTGCCAGATACATCTGTTGCGTACTTGGGTTTTAATAAGTTAGCGCTGAGGCATATCAGTACTTTTTGGGTTATTAAGGTACGTAGAGATGCATGCAAGCTAGAAGTACCTACAACTATGAGTTTACACCCCATGTTCTATGATTGCTGACTTAAGAACCTACCAGCAATTCTCCCGTTGATCCTTTCTCACTCTTCTGTGATAGCTTAATGTTCGACACCCCCTGTTAACGATGCTGAAGGCTACCAGGCCCCAATTTTTGCCCAGCGCTCACAGACTTGTTCTGCTGGGCCCTCTAAACGCGGCAGTCTTGAGTTGGCGAAAACGCATCAACACCCCCTGCTGCTCCCGTCGAGTCCTTTCGTCGGCCTGTGCCGTATCAGCTGCACGATCGCGAGCACTCTTCACATCTCTAGTGCATCAATCAGACCGTTCTTTGATTGTTCAGCATTAGCACGGATAAATAGCAGTGTGCCTCTCGACAGTACTAGTGTCCGAGTATGTGAATTTTTGGTGCTCAATGCAAGATTATTTTCGTTGTAGTTAAAGGAAGTGATCGAAGTTTTGCAAAATGCACAGTGAATATATTTAAAACCTTAGTTCACAACCTCCTGTTGCTACTCTAAGCCTACTGAATTCTTTCTGACTCTACGTTATTAATCGTCTAGTCGTACATTACTAATCGTCTCGTCGTACGTTTCTAACTCAGATAGTGTGTTTCTAACAAACACCGTAACTTACTAAGATGGGGGACGTCACTGTCTGGCAGGACAGTGCTGGTGAACCCCGGCACACCAGTATCCGTTTTAACTTTTGGTTGCAGTCACTGGATATCGAACCAGTGACCTCTCGCATGGTGCTGCCACACCAAACCACTTGAGCTACAGGTTCTTGTGCGAATACGCATGCCGAGGCGCATTTGTGACAACACTCCCACTCGCCTCGGCAGAAGTTAGCACCTTGACACCCAGCATGTTCCGTAGATGTTGAAACTGTACTGCAGGAATTGGCTTCGTCATCAGGTCGGCCTTCATGTCCTTGGTCGAGCAGTATTCCAACACCAATGTTCCTTCAGCCACTTTTTCGCGTACAAAGTGATACCGAATGTCAATGTGTTTTGTGCGCTTGTGAAATTCGGGATTTTTGGCCAAAGCGATGGAACCTTGATTATCTTCGAAAATATTGACAGCTTCATCGCTCCTCATCTCGTCGAGCTCTCATAATAGTGCCTTCAGCCAAATTGCTTCTTGTGCAGCTTCCGTCAAAGCCATGTACTCCGCTTCCGTAGATGAAAGAGCCACAGTGCTCTGTTTCTTACTTCTCCAGCTTACACACCCGTTGTTCAATATGAACGTGTAACCACTTGTGCTTCGTCGAGACTCAATGTCGCCGGCCCAGTCCGCATCCGAGTAGCCGTGCAGTTTGTCATTGTTTGTTGCTTGATACTCGATTCCATATTCCCTTGTGTGCCTTGGATATAACGTAAAAACCCCGCTTAAGAGCTTGCCAATGGGATCGGACAAGGGTCTGCCGAGAACTGACTAAGCATTCCCACTGCAGCAGCAAGGTCTGGGCGTGTACCCACCATAAGGTACATCAAGCAGCCGACTGCGTTGCGAAATGGCACATTTGCCATCGTTTCGTCATGCTTGCACCCATCCACGCACATTGACTTTGTCAGCTTGAGTCCTGGTTCTTGTGGAGTTCTGACAGGATTGCTGTTATCCATGCCAAATTTCTCAAGGATGTCCTTTGCAAATTTGGACTGACAAATCGAAATCGTACCAGCTGAACGATCTTGGTTAACTTCCACTCCTAGGAAGTACTTGAGGTCATCAAGATCCGTCATGTCAAACCGCTCACTTAGCGCATCCTTTGTAGCTCTAATCAGTTCGGCGTTGTTGCTTACGAGGACCAAATCGTCAACGTACAGCGCTACAAAAATCAAGTCTTCTTGATCTCGCTTGAAATAAATGCAATGGTCGGTCTTGCACTTCTTAAAATCCAAGTCCAGCATAAACTTGTCAATGGTCTGGTTCCACATCCGTGGGGACTGCTTCAGACCATACCAGAGAGCGCTTTAGCTGGCAAACAACAAAGTCCGGATGATCTACATCAACGTATCCATCCGGCTGCGCCATGTAAATATCTTCCTCAAGATGTCCATTTAGAAATGCTGTCTTGACATCCATCTGGTGAATCATGAACGAGTACTTCGCCGCTAAGCTGAGTAAAACTCGGATGGATGTGAACTTGGCCACAGGAGCGAAGGTCTCGTCATAGTCAATGCCATGTTTCTGTAAAAAACCTTTGGCTACCAAACGCGCTTTGAACCGCTCGATTCTTCCATCCTTGGTCTCCTTTACCCGAAATACCCATCGATTACCAATTGCCTTGCGTCCCTGTGGAAGCGGCACGAGATTCCAGGTCTCATTTTTGACGAAGGGAATTTATTTCGGAGTCACAAGCCTCTTTCCACTTGACTGCGTCGCTGGATTCCATTGCTGACTTGAATGTCCTTGGTAAATCTCCCACTGAATCCACGACGTAGGCAGTCTCAACAGAGTGACTGGTATCAGCAGTCGCAGACATCTCGGCCATGGTAAGGTATCGAGCTCGATGTTTCGCATCAGGAGCGTTGGCCAAGGCCTCGAGCGACTGTGTGCGTTGGTGTCTCTTCTTGCCGGGTTCATCAACGCCATCCATTGTAGCCTCTTCAAAATTCATGTTGCTGGTGTCATGAGAGGTAGTAGTCCTCCATAGGTACATCCTCATCTTCCATAAAAGCTTCTTCTTCGACGACGGCTCCATCTTGCACATAGTCGCGTCTCCCACTGTCGAAAACATTCTCCATGAACTGTGCGTCGCGACTGACCAGTACACGACGACTCTTGATCTCCTCGAAACGGTACGCTTTTTCATGGTCGGAGTATCCAATGAACCGACACTGAATCGATCTTGCATCGAGCTTGGACCGCTTTGGCTTGGGCACATGCACGTATGCATGACAACCGAACACCTTCAGGTTTGCAAGTATAGGTTTCTTTCCACTCCATACTTCGTAGGGTGACTTGTCATGACTTGTTGAACGACTTGGACAGCGAAGACGTAGGAAGTTCGCTTGATCATGACTGCGTCACCCCAATACGACTTGGATAACTCAGCATGTTCCATCATGCAACGAGCGCTTTCCACTAATGTCCGATTCATTGGCTCGGCGACACCGTTCAATTGAGGGGTGTAAGGCGGCGTGAATTTCTGCATGATACCATGGTCCGCACAGAACTTGGACATCGTTCTGGAAGTGTACTCATCACCATTATCACTGCGGAGTGTCTTCACACGTTTGCCAGTTTGGGTTTCCGCCAACGCAACAAATTGAGCGAACTTGGTCGCTACTTCAGACTTGTTTTGAAGCAGATACACCACACAGTAGTGCGGGTATTCGTCAATGAAAGTCACGAAGTATCGTTTTCCACTGAAGGTAGGAGTTTTCATGGGGCCACACACATCGCTGTGAATGACCTCCAGCAACATACGTGCTCGGTCGGGTGACTTGGGCATAAAACTCACGTGTTTGTTTGCCAAGTGCGCATCCTTTACAAAACTCCCACTTCTGCACAGACTTCATGCCGATTCCACTGCCGTAATCTTTCTTGACAATGGCATCTAGACCACCATGACCAATGTGGCCAAGTCGAAGATGCCCAAGGTAGAGTAGATGTTGTCTCCTTGAGGTTTATTGGACTCGCCCACATTGACCCTCGTCAGAAAGCGCAGCCGGTGTCATAGAAAGCTTGAACAATCCCATTCCTTCTAGAGCGCCTAGTTTCCACTTGAAACCCTTCGTTTCCGCGAAGCAACCATCGACTTCAAAGGTGACAGGCCCCACGTCCTTGATGAATCTCCTAACGGAAATTAAGTTTCGAGATAACTTTGGGATATGCCACACATTTGTGAGCACACCCTTCTTGACGCCCTGACGAGGTCATCATTGACATGACAATGTAACCCTTTCCAATCGCGGCTTACAACTCCATCATCAGCAAGATGCACATCTACTGGTCCAAAGTCCTTGTAGTTCCTCATGAACTCTTTCGAACTTGTCATGTGCTGCGTTGCTCCTGAATCGACCAGCCACATGTAACTCGACTTGAGTCTTGCCCACCACCCAACCGAGAACAGGTAATTGCCAAGCTCCGGTTCTTGCGCGTTGTTTGCACGCTGGTACCTGTGTCGATCAGCGTCTTCCTGGATGTGCGAGGGCATTCGGCAATCCAATGTCCTTGCTTTCCCACAATTGTGGCACGCACCGGTCTTCTTAGCCGGTCGAGCCTTGCGCTTGTTGTCTCTTGACATGAATGCTTGAGCTTGACCGTGCGCGGCTCCTTCGATTCCGCCACCTTGCTCCTTGCGCTTCATGTCTTCATGCAATAGCCGAGACGTCACTAGTTCCCACGACAGAGAGTGGCTCTCGACTCCAATGCTGTTATCAGGAACTGGTACGACTCGCTAAGGCTGGCCAGAAGCGTGATGACCGAATCGTCCTCACTGACCGGAGCACCGACTGCGTCCAATTGCTCCGCCAGAGTCTTGAGTCTGTTGATGTGCTCCAGCACGTCATCACCTTCTCCCATCATTGTCGTGAAGAACCGGCGACGAAGAATGAGCTTATTAGCCAAGCTTTTCTTCTCGTAGTGTCCTTCCAGACGTGACCATGCATCATACGCGTCCTTCGCCGAGCGAACCAGTGGCAACTGCGAATCCTCCATCGCAAGACAGATTATCGCTAGCGCCTTTCGCTTGAACGTCGCTTGGTCCAAAGTACTTGTACAGTGCTCGATCTTGACCTCGCCGCTCACGACGTCCCACAGGTCTCGCTCCTCCAGCACCATTTGCATCTTGAACTTCCACACATGGAAGTTTGTTCCGAAGAACTTGTTAATGCGAGCGGCGGTAAACAGAGACGAGTCCATGGCGAAGGCGTGATCGAGGTCTTTGTCAGAGTCTGCGAAGCTTGGGCTCATAACCTAAAGGAAGTGATCGAAGTTTTGCAAAATGCACAGTGAATATATTTAGGTCCTTAGTTCACAACCTCCTGTTGCTACTCTAAGCCTACTGAATTCTTTCTGACTCTACGTTAGTAGTCGTCTAGTCGTACATTACTAATCGTCTCGTCGTACGTTTCTAACTCAGATAGTGTGTTTCTAACAAACACCGTAACTTACTAAGATGGGGGACGTCACTGTCTGGCAGGACAGTGCTGGTGAACCCCGGCACACCAGTATCCGTTTTAACTTTTTGTTGCAGTCACTGGATATCGAACCAGTGACCTCTCGCATGGTGCTGCCACACCAAACCACTTGAGCTACAGGTTCTTGTGCGAATACGCATGCCGAGGCGCATTTGTGACAACAGTAGTGATCCTCCTTTCTTGGAAGGCGCACCCGGTGGGCGACGTTAAATGGACTGTATCGTCGTTTATGAAGATTCCACGCGTCGTGCGTCGAGAATCGACTTGGGCGCTATTGAAGTTTCTAACCAAGAATTACTACGAGGGTAGTTAGCTAGGATATTAACCGGCGGACGACACGTAGAAGCCCCAATCGAAGTACGTTGGCTAGCGATTTTCTTGACGCCGTCATGGCGTATACGTCCAGTAGGAGGACGGTGATCGTGACCGACGTTGGTGGTCGCACCGACGACCTTGCGAGCCATGATGCTCTCGAGCTTCCAGTCGACGACGATTTCATCAGTCGCTCTGAGATATGTATGAGACTCGGGGGCACACTCTTTTATTATTTAGCTGTCGCAAACAAATGCGTGAGAACATTTACGAAGGTCGAGCGTTGTATATTCTCGACTGCGTCGACACCACCTGTGATCGAATGGATGTTCCCTCATGTGACGCATCTCCAGATGCTAAATCTCTGAGAGGCTCATCTTGTCACCTGCCAATCCATGGTAGGATGTGCTAAGCCATTACCCTTTGTAAACACCAGATCGTCTAATTCCTGGTGATTCCTGCTGGACTGGACGCAGTCTGACCTTGTTGCACGATGGGCACCAGTTACAGAAATGGACGTAGCACATGTAAATCTCTCCATGTAAAATGAGAACAGCCCAAATCAATAAAAAGGGTGCGAGCCGTGCATAATCTCGCGTCGCTCGATCTAGGACGTGAAGGATGGTCATTTGCGCCAGCTCGCATTCCAATGTCTCGAAGAAGGCGCACCGAGATCGCTGCAGTGCCGTTGTCAGTGTATGGATAGCTCATCGCTCTATTGCACAGTACAATTTCGTGTGAAAAAGTTCTTAATTGAATCGAGCCACTCAGGGTTCTACAGCACCTTTAAGCTGTACAAACTTCGCGGTGGCAAGTTGTCGTGCTCTTACCAGATTTTACCTGATGGTCAAAAACATTGTTTCGGATCTTCGCGCGTAAACAACCAGGGTTTGTGCTGCGCACATGCGTGTAATTGAGCAGATCTGACGACCAAGAAGACAAAACGTTGAAGTTTCCACTAGGCTTTTCGTTGAGAAGAAACTTTCTGCGTGTAGCTCCCACACTAGAGTTCGCGCAAGTTGAAGAGAGCGGAAATGTAGCAGAGCAACCCCCCTTTTTTAGGACTTTAAAGGTTTTATTTAAAGAATCACGTAATTAGGCAGAGGCAGTGTCTAATCCAGATAGCAAGCGCGCGTCTCCACTTGCTGTTTAATTACTGGGGTGCTAGACTTAATATTTAGCCAATAATAAATCGATATATGTTTTAAGTGATTCTCATGGGCTAGGGAACATCTTTTCACACTTACTGCGTAAATAATAAATATAAACAAAATCTGGCATTTACGCTATAAATACAAGAGCTTCTTCACGCTCTTAAGAGTATACGAAGGTAACGTGGCTCGATCCCAGTAACAAAGGTAGTGATCAATGGCGCTTCAAAGGTCAAAGGCCAAAGTAACCGCGAGATTCAACATCAGTTTTCTCTACGGTACCTAGCTTGCAGCCTTTTGTCTTTTCACTTATGTATTCTCGTAATACAGCATTGATACGCAAGCATAGCATAATTCCACTCTATTACAGTGAATATATGCACGTCCGTAATCAAACTCACCACTTTTTAGTAGATGAGTTAAATTAATCTATTGCTGGAGAATGATGACTAGAATCGGTCGGGCCCTCCCGTTACAATGTCGGTATATGGGTGCCCCTTAACATAGGAACAATACGTGCGTAGGTCGATAAACGTATTTTTAAATTGTCAGGATATTATTAATTTCCTGTTAAATCCACAAACGGTCTATTTTTGTAGAACAAAATTTTTAAAGGCAGTCTGTATTTTCATACTAATTTTATCGGTTTTATTTTGGCTTTACATGTAGTAGCATAACTATGCTCGACACAGTAAATCTGAATTTTATACATTGCTGTAAAAAATGATGGTGATTAGTTTTAAATCTTATGATTTCTTGAATTCGGTAAATGAAAACTTTTATTAACAATACTGCATAAAAGTTTTTAATGACAAATTTCCAGGTCATAGATATCCTGAAATTTTAGGTTTTATTCTTTTTTTTACTTTTCGTGGGGTTGTATTACTTTTTTATTTTGCCTTTGCAAAAAAAAAAAAAAAAACGGTTCAGAGTGCTTTTCCACTTCACCAAATACCAAGCTGAAAGAAAAAATATGCCTTGCAAATGAATAATTTAAGAAGCACGTGAACAGCATTCGAAAAAACAAACTTGCCGTATATATGGCACTACACTGCGTACGCACTAAATTTAGTGATTCACCTTGCAAGTTTCGTTACGTCGGTAGCGATGGGCATCAGTCGTGTGTTGCGTCTTGAGCGTCTTCTCGAAATTACATAGTAACACAAGCACTGCAGAAGATATCCATGGGTCGTAATAGCTTGCGATTCCGGGTGAGGAAGCTTAAACTCTTGACTTGTAAGCGTTCGAAGCTTACCCACTCAATCATATCGAGCATATGTCCTTCGACCAGTTCTCGAAGACACCCGGTTGTACGTCGCGGCTGCTCGTGGTGCAGAAGTCTTCACGGCGTAACAACGGTGCCGCGCTCCCAACACCAGCGAGATCTGTCAGTTTTGGAGAACTCGCGTGAGCACCTTCATCAGTATGCACTCGACGTATCTTATGTTGACGAAACCACAATGGCACATACTGGTAACAGTAGCGGATCCATGATTATATCCACTCGGATTGACCAAGGCGTGAAAAGAGCGTGTCAGTGACATCGGAAAAAAGTTTTGAAAATAATCAGTGATGTATAGCTTCACACGCACAACTTTGGGGAGCGATTGCACAAGTGGTGAGTCAACTGAGTGCAGTTTCAGGTATCCCTTTCTCCCCATCAGCGAAATAGAGAATACCCGATGCTTTTAGACTGAGAAAAACTCAGCCTTTGATCAGCTTTGTGTAGCTTAGATGGAGATCGATTTTAAGCCACTGATTGGCTGGTGTGGGCTTGATCTAGCGTAAGTAGCACCGTCCCAACACTGTAGTCGTAGACACTTATCGGCTTACGCCTGTAACGCGACATAATTGATAGGGTTCACCGTGCCGTACATGAGGTCTCTTACAGCTTTCCTGAGAACTTGCAAACGCTCAGCACTACAGGCGTTGGTGTGCCCGTGCGCGCTCTTCTTCTGGAGAGCGACAGTACCTGCAGACCAATCCTGCTTCCCCTTTGACCCCTGTGGTGCGTTTTCGCACAATGTGGAGATCGTTATCGAATTGTGTTGTTCTCTTAGAGCGCCAAATTTACTCGCGAGTTGCTCAAGATTAACTTTTGTACTCTGGAAAGTATCTTCCAACCAAGGTCACTCTCGAATTCCAACAAAGTGCGTTGGTCGATCATGAGGGTAAGTGAAAGCGGGTGATACAAGCTCATGATAAGGCGCTCTTTGAGCATCTCCCAGCGAGTTGTGTTGTGGTGGAAAACTCGGCCCTTGCCAGTAGCCAATCGAGAATGCATTTTTACAACTGCTCCTATGTCTATACAGACACGTGGGCGCGTATGATATCAATAAACAATTTGTTGTAATACTCAGCGGTATCTCCACCCCGTCGTAAATCAGATTGCTGGAGATTCGCTACAATCAAAGCACTCTGCTGTCTCTATTGTGCGTCCTCAAAGCTTTGATGTACGTCTATCATGTCGGAAGCTGGGGAGAAGAATGCTTATTCAAGGGCCAAAGATGGTCAATACGGTCATGTTCTTTAAATGGCACGCCACTAGCGATATGTACCGTCTGCATCACAAGCGTGATCACGCATACTGATATTGGTTTATCGCTTTTTTCAGCCCGCAAATTATTTGGTGAATTCTCAACCCAGGACGCGTTATCGCTAGCTATAAGATTGCAGCTATGGATTAAAAGGATAGGGCGGAGAAAATCACTTTCCAACCAGGGATTGCCTTGTCACTAATTACCAGAGATGCACTCAATGCTGCGCAAAGTTCGACAAGGACTTGTCGGCTTATCTCACGTACCCTCATGAACCCCTAGACGTAGAAAATGGAACGATAGTGCCGACACGTGTTGGTTGGTGACGTCAGTGTCCAACATGCGTGTAAACACTTATTAGGTTTGAAGCATTGAAGTTGCGTCATCTGTTTGATGACGCAAGATAAGGCAGATAGGTCTTGTCCTTCTTAATCTGTATACCGTCTGTTTACCAAACGCCTGTGTTTGTAAAATCCTTTTTGGGCCGATGGCTTCCATCGTCTATAGGCCACATATGGCGCTGAAATTTGTTGCCTTTTGTGTCGTTCGCGATCCGTGCACGAACGATCAGAAGTCTTCTTGATAACAATGATGTTTTTTTTTTTCACTGCATAAGTGTCGACCAGAACGTCACTACCGAATTTCACCACCTCGATCGTAAGTGGTTCAACCCACCCAAATCTTCCACCTGATGCTGACGTGGTCCCTTGACAGCGGTAACC